ATCTGCTGATATCCAATATTCACCGATATCAGTGTAGGGACAGAATATAGCACCTAACTGTAACTAAGGCTACGTTCAGACTGCAGCGCTCAATTCCGATTTTTTTGTGAAATCCGATGTTTTTTCGAGGTCGTTCACATTTCCAGTTAAATGTGACTTGTATGTGATCCCCTGTGTGAACATTAAATGGCCCGAAAGTGTCCCGCAAGCGCACTGGAGGACACGATGACGTCAACCGCTGCGAGCGTGCTCTGTGTTTACGGAAGTTGTCCAAACATGGACGCGAGCATTGAGCACCTGGAGATTTTAAAGTTCCTCTCGTGCCGGAGCCAGAACATGAACAACTTACTTGTTTTAGTTAAGAGGAGATTGAGAAGGAGAAGGACGAGGTTTTTAGCCGTGGTGTTTTGTGGGGCAGCAGCAGCGGCGTCCATTGAAAGGAAAGTGTGGATGCGCAGACGTAGCCAAGAGTGGTGAGTGGTGATGTGCTTCACTTCGGTAACACGGAGTTCATTAACAATTTTCGCCTACTTCAGCGCAGAATAGTGACGTTTGTGGCTTGTTGATAACGTGTAGGTGGATGAATGCACTTTGACTGTTCACACTGAAGTCGCATGTCAAAAGATCAGATATGTATCAGTTTCAGGAGCACATATCCAAGTGGCCTGGGTCACATTTGAAAAAAATCTGATCTGTGTCGTTCAGACTGTCATTAAAAGATCAGATACAGGTCACATCGGGGCCAAAAAAGATCAGATTTGCCTAAATGTTATTTATCCTTCAAATAACTGCACAACTAGCCTGATTCAGTCGGTTTCATTTTGTAGAAACCATCTGACCTCGCAGCATTAGAATTCACTCGCTTGACAGTAGGTGGGTATTTTAAAAAATTTAACCAGTTGCTGCTATTTGGTAGTCACGTATGTAATGCTCCGCTAACGGGGCTAACTGGTACATTAAGCTTTTCCCAAATCCTGTAGGAAGAAGGACAATAATGTCTTTCCCCCTGATAAAATTCACTGAACATTCTCTTTGTTTCTGCTTTAAATCCTCGATCTCAGAAACTGTTGCCAAGACAGAATGGCTGTAGAGAAATGAAAATTGAGCGGAGGCACTAGGTGGCGCCTGCCTAGCTACTGCACAACATCTTCATATGAATAAAAGTTAAAACATTATGAGATTTTCTAGACCTAAATCAGCCTGTAAATAGTTTGATTACATCCAGTTAAAAGCCCAACGAGGACATTGCTCAACTGATATCATGACAACAATACCCAAAATTTCACTGCATCCCTAGTTTCTATAGACATAATCATGCATTATATTAGAAACTGTATTTTAATTAATCTTTTTTGCTTGTTCATTGTTAGTACTACCAAATATTCGGATCATTGGTTTTTCTGAATCAAGTCCTTCTTTTCTGCCTCTATAAGAGTACAGAGCATTCCTATCATTCTTGACAGTCTATAACAGCAATGGATGCTGCACACAGCATATGAAACCATATTTTACAGCAGCTACTTGATAGATAGTCTGCTCTCCAAAACAAGAGATGCCAGCGTATAGCTGCTGATAGCACCTCCTCCATAAGACTCAGCAGTGCACACACCTCTGCTGCCTGTCATCTTCCTTATTATGGCCTCTCTCTTCCCCCACTGTGTGAATGAAACTGAATACAAGAGCAAAGACAATAACCTGGCTTTGAAAACAAGTCGACCGCAATAATAGGGTCTCGGTAGGTCCACATAATGCTGTTTTCTGTGGAAAATGTGTTACATAAGTACCCAAAGTCCACTGCAACAGACAAGGGTTCTAATAAATCTGCAAGTTTTTCTCCATAACCACAACAAAAACAACCACACATTATTTTTCATTTCACATAATTTCCATCACAATCGGTTTTACTGCAGTGGTTGTGGTGAGGGGACTTCTGCACTAAAATTAACTTGTCACTTGACTAAAGACTTGGAGGTTCAGTCCATCACATCTCCCCTCCAGCCTAAGTGGATTTCATCAGTGGAATCAATAGATAGATCAGACTGTAATCTAGATGTTCCTGGGTCATGGCAACGCAGTAAACACAAAGAGTGCCGTGGCACTACCCGGCACTCTGGACTAAAGTGGCACAAGCATGGCAACACAGCGATTAGCTTTGATCTGAGAAGAAGCAGTTAGCATAGCCTCCAGCTTAGACAAATGCAGATCAATATCTCTGCCTTTGATGATCATACGTATATAAGGGTTTATAGAAAGCAGCATCAAACACGGGTTACATCATGTGAGATTAGACATGCACTTAAAAACATTAACTCCATCTAAAGCCTTGTATCTGTGAAACACAACTTATTTAGTAGCACTGATTGGACAAAAGCATACTACAAAGAAAGAGTAGGTTTTCCTAAAATAAGACTTTAGACTTGAATCACATCTCAGTGCACAGAAATACATGTTGATTTACCTGTTTTGCCTCTAAACAATAGTTAGCAAATGAATCAAATATCCTCTATAAAATTGCATATTAAGTAAAATCTGAAAGTACTGAAGGCAACTATATATTTACACTTCTGACCAGGTTAAATGTGTTGGTAAAATGTTGAAATTGCACACAATTGTCTGCACTTGAGAAAAATGGGTTAGTGCACAATCTTTTAGGAGAAAAAAAGCTTTGTGTTCACATTTCTGTGTTGTCTTGAAATGTTGCAATATATGTGCAATTTGGTAAAGGTCTTTTTGGGATAAAGCCTACATTTTAATGATTTAATGTGACACAGGCAGTGGCAATAAGAAGGTTATGAGATTTTTGGGTCAGCCTTAAAGGTATAGAGATATTACAACAACATCACTACTATATATTCCTAATGTATTATTAATCATGTTTTATTACTGCTTTCAGTGTTCAGTTTGTCCATAGTGTAAGTGTACAGGTTCCTGACATATTTTTGACCAGTGTTATCAGCATCAGTGCTGCTGGGGCATTCTTTGATACTACAACAGACCATAGGCGCTGGTCTCCCGCTCTGTGTGTCTGCCTTATAAATAGTCCATTACTTTGAAACGTAAGTATGCTTCCAAAAATCCACGCCCCCCCTCACAGTCAGCTCCAACACACACGGACCAATGACCTGAGCGCAAGTCATATTCAACTTTTTATAAAGCTCGTCTCACAGACAGGGAACGCAGGGACCACGTCAGAGCGGCCACGTCAGAAGGCCCTTTGATATCTCCATTGGATATGTGTCTGGAGTGAGCGCACGCACGTCATTTAACCGGTCTGTGCAGTGTTGGACAGCAGATTCGACAACACAGATCACACCAACAAACTCCAATTCCAACAGGCATGGGAAGGTATTGAAATTTTCTGTGTCACATTATCATGGCCAAAATAATTGCAAATAATGATAATATCACAATTCTTAAAATGGCTGACAGTTTGTATGTGAATAGTATGTGAATTTTAACACTGACATTGTTTAAACAGCTATTAGAATTGCATTTATAAATCCAAAAATCAAAGAACTAGAAGGGAACTTGGTGGTGTAATCCCTTATTTGTCAAAGGTAGGTTTCTGAGGTCGTCATATTGGACATGACTTTTGCAAGACATTTGCTATATTTGTAATTTTGGCCTAGGCACCGCCCCAAAAAAATTACACCACCAGCCGCCACTGCATTTTAGCTCCCATCCAGAACCCACCTCCAACAGATGGTACTGGTTTGAGATACTAGGATAGATACAGGTATACCTACTAAAAGTGTAGTATAAATCCTAGTGTCTAGACGGGAGTCGGAATGTCTTAATTTCAAAAACAGTGTCCACATGATTACCTCTGAAAAGTATCTATGCATTAACTGGATTTTTCAGCACAATTTGGTGGTATAATGGTGATCATCTCTGTTGGTGATCACAATTATATACAAAGTATGATATAAATGAATATTGTTTAGTGTCCCAGCCCTTATTTCAGTTTGTTTTAAACTGTCTATAGTAGCCACAATGCACAAGCAGCCTGTAAGAAATAAAGAAAAAAACAATCCAAACAGCAATAATGACGAATGACAAAAATGATTACAGCACATTTAACCTTATTTCAACATTTTAACACTTGCTCACCAATAAAGTCACCAATAAATGTTTAATTAAAGATGCCGTCTTAAACTTTTGTAACCAGCAACAATCAAAGTTCAAATTCTAAAAAGAACTGTTCACAACCTGGAAAATGTCGTTATAATCCTCATGAAATAAAATACATTGCAGTCCGCTTCTGGCACTTGTTGGGCATAGGATTATCTCTGGTTCAATTGAAATAGCCGTGGCTCATCTGAACCCCCACCCTCCACTTCACATCTCCGACAGAAGGTATCCAGCTACACTGCACTTCTTTGACTGTCTCCAAACCAAAGCTGCTGATGTAATGAGCGAACATCTGTGAGCCTGAGGGGCAAGTCTTAGGACCATATGCCACCCAAATTTCAGACTACATTTCGGAGTGGGGGGCCAGAGACAATCCGAATAACTCAACCTATTTCGTCTCTACAGGGGTCCTCTCCCTAAGAGTGTGTAGACAACTTTAGATGCAAAAGTGCCCGTTGTCTGGATGATTTGACAGACATCACGGTCGTTTGCGTTTACGCACTGAAATCCAATAATCTTATAGGATATCATTTGCGATATTCTTTGGAAAACGATCTTCCCTTGCCAAAATAAAAGCGTTAGCGACTGACTGGCACATTTGTTTAAGTGTGAGTCGTTATTTACAGGCGCTGGGTTATTATAAACGTCAGCAGCTTCTCTCATCTTACATCACAGGCTCAAGATATTATGTAGTTTGTTATAAGTTGAACATGATATGAACTCTGTAACCTAGCGATCTGACTATGTGCACTTAGCCTAACCTAGGAAGAGTGTAGCGCGTTATGAAGATGGTCCACATGGTTCACCCGCGCAGCGCACGCACAGTCTGTCTATGAAACATTTTTGAAAAGGCAAAAATGTTCTCTTACCGTGAAGAAGACGTGAAGACCGAGAGGAAACTGATTTTCGAGCAATTATATATCCTTATTTCGCATCGTACATGGAGAAAGAAGATGATGAGGGCAAGCACGCTGCTACTGTGAGGGAATAATCCGACTGTCAGTGACAATAACCCGGGGAGGGGGAGGAGGAGGGAGGGGGTTCTCTCTCTCCAATTAGAAACACTGGGATTGATTGTTACAGGAAGGAAACAAGGCCGTCAGTGTTTGGACGGACGGAGCGTTACTGGAGCAAATATAGTGAGATCTGTGAAATGCTTAAATTAACCTTAAATAATTGGTTAAATAAAACACGTGATTTCCGCGGAAGTTGGCTGTGTCGACTGAACGCTACGAGTCGATCCGTATTAGGCTAAAATCATCGTAAAAAGTAGTGATATGATTAATCTCATTTCAGACGTGTTTATGTGACGAGCGCTGAGGTTAATAACCGACTTCGCTTAAATTTCCATATTCAAAGCTGAGATGGCAGCATCTGCACTTGCCACGAGGCGCTGCCATCTAGTGGTAGAAAAAAGTATGTGACACACTGACCCTAACAAACACGCTGCTGTTGAGGCACAAGCATAGGTGTGTGTTTTTGTCTATATGATCAAGTACAAGTAGACTATTATTACACAGTGTTGGGGACTGACTGATTACCTAACTCTGGTACATGTAATCTGAGTACAAATTATGAGTAACTGTAATCAGTTACATTTACTGTTTGAGTGAGTGGTAATTGGATTACAGTTACTTTGTTGAAATAAATGGATTACATGGCCATATTTTCCTGTTTTCACATTTTGGGCCATATCCTTTTTTTTTTTTTGATAATTCCACTCATTGCCGGACACTAAACCAGGACTAAATCAGGATTGAACCAGGACTGAACCCAGGACTAAACCAGGACTAAAACCAGGTTTAAACCAGGTCTACACTAGATCTAAACCAGGACTAAAACAGGATTTAACAGGACTAAACCATGCCGTGTGGACCGTGTCTCCTCCTCTTCTATCAATAATATTTTTAATACGGTTAAGGAAAGACTGGGCTTTAAGCAGACAAAATTTCTTATGTGAAGATATCCGAGTCTTTGCATCTCTACAGAAAATCAAGTTATCCAAAGTATTCAGATTACGTTACTCACTTTAATTTAATGGATTATGTTACAAACTACATTTTAGGGTGTGTAACCTAATCTGTAGGGGAATACATTTTAAAAGTAACCTTCCCAACACTGTTATTAGATCATATCTCCTGTCCAAAAATGTTCCATAAAATGTTTTCACTAGGCCTACATCTTTGCCTGCTTCCTGTCATAGGCAGTGACTCTTATAAGTGACCAAATAATGCAATAGTCCACACTATAAAACAGTTTGGTGAAGGTGTTGGTCTGTCTGTGATGTAGGCCTAGTGTTCTGTACTGTCATTTGCAACTTTAGTTATTTTTTGAAAACATAAAACACTGGATACAACGCATTAGTTAAAATTGTTTAGAAGTTGATGTGTGACCTGCTACTATGAATCTCGATCTTTATTAAATCTTCAGAATTCAATCTTATGAGTAACACATCTTAAAACGAATAGGCCAGGCTGTAATGACAGACATCTGACTCGAAGCTTAAGCCTTGCCACAATAACAATGCTATCTTTATTCCACGTTAAAAGCATAAGTGGGTACGGCGTTTAACAAAGCATTAAGTGAAAAATACTTCCCGTTACTGCCATAACATATTGTGAAAGGAGAAGCAGTGTGTGGTGCCAGGCTTTGTGGTGTGTTTGTGCAGAGCTATTGTGAACAGTTCTATTAGGAGCAGTGTGAAGACAAACAGTGACATGTTCAAGAGGCCGTAAAGAGGCAGAGAGAGATGGATAAACAGGTGCCAGAGCCATACAGCGCACTGCTGGAATGTTCCTAATATAACTATGTTGACAATAGACTGCTGCAATCAGATACATGGGATTATCATGTATGGCTCATATATTACTCTGGTCTTTTACAAGGAAAGACTGTCCTCTAGTGTCCATTTATGATATGACTCATGTTGGTTTGCTTTGAGGAGAAGGGGCATTTCATAATAATTTTATTATTATTAAATATTTTATATTAAAGGATAAAAATCGAAATACTCAAAATAAATAGCCTATCGTTTCATAATATCTACACGTATCAATCCATCACACATTTTATCAGTAGCAACATCCTCTGTTGAGATAAAAATATAGGACAAAGGAAGGAGAAAGTGAGTGCACTGCTGACACTAAACCATGATCTGATCTGTTTCAGGTGTCAGCTGGTATGATAACAAACTGCATGCAAGTTTCTGTTATCAATACAAAGTGGATTTAGATTCATAAAACATGTGAGAAAAGTGAAATGACTGATGCAAAATGTCATCGTTTCACTTTTCTCACTTTAAAGAGGGGGGATTTTACTACTATGGGCTAACATAGCATATTTAGATCACAATGTCACCCTTTATCAAAAAATGCTATTTTCACCAAAAACAAACAGTTACACATTTAATAACTTTCATTTATGACAGACTGAGTCCCCTTTTCCTTCACTCTCCACACTAAGTCACCCCCCCTTCAGTGTGCCATCACAACACAATCAACGTGCTCTAATGAAACCACTCTGCATCAGGTCAGATTTGTAAAGCTGTCCGGTACGATTTTGTATCATGTTTTTGTATGTTTATGGAGAATTGTGTGGAAACATGGATGATGTAGGCTGAGCATTGCACAGAATCTTACAGCTAACTATAAGTAAGATTTGAATATGACCTGGGAGAGATCACAAAAATACTCATACATGCATGGATAAAACCTCTTCAGGCATGTTTTTGATGAGGGAACATTATAATATTATAGAAAAAGCTAAAAGTCTGTAGTTTTACAAACATACCAGCAGAGTGCGCCATTACATTGCAGCAGAAACTGAATCTGCACAGCGTCATCTCGTCCTCGGTTCCCGCTATATTTTACTCCCTACCCCGGATGGGACGTGATAGATCCATGATCAAAGCTCTAAAACACGGGTGTCAAACATGCGGCCCGGGGGCCAGATTCGGCCCTCCAAGACCTTTAATCTGGCCCTCTGCTGATTTTCTACTAAAATATTTAAATTCTATTTTTTATTAAAATATTGTTAATTTTCTGTGGTGATTATCACAGCAGCATCTCCAGAGTCTCTGTACGTGGCCCCTCCCACCAGAGCAGCACAAATGAAGACTTGTCTCTTTCCAAACGCTCTTAAAGGACGATCGTTTTGACTGTTGACCGTGACACCCTCATCAGAAAAATGTCCAACATGAGAAAAGTGGAGCCGAGTGCAGAATTTACCAAGAAAAATTTACTTATTCCTATTTATACAAATTAATGTTAAACAAGTTCATGTTAAGACATTGTGTTGAAATTGTATTTTTCTTAAAGTTTCAGGTTGTTCATAATATTATAATATTTTGTAAAAGAAAGAGTTCATCAATTAAAAAACATTTCTGTAATAGATTTGTGTTTCTCTGCACAAATATTTGAACTTATTGTTATTTTGGGGGTTTATATGACATGAGTTTTCTGATCCAGCCCCTTTGGGATCAAAGTCGGTTGGATACGGCCCCCGGACCAAAATGAGTTTGACACCCCTGCTCTAAAACATCATCTTTATTTTTATTTTTATTATTATTATTTTTGTTTACCTTCTCTTAATTTAAGTCTTATAGTCTAGATCTCTTTTCTCAAAATGATATCTGAATGAAGAAATAATTATAATTTATCACAACCACATTATGAATGTTTTAACTGTGTGGAAACCAAAAGCAAATTTCCCCATCATAGCACAATGTTTTTTGGTCTATAGACACCAATAATCTGATAATGAATTGAAGACCAAGAAATTAAATAGACAAATATATGCCTTTTCATTGACAGTTTTGTTTAGAAAATTGTATATTCTGTATATTTAAAATGTAGGCTTATAGTAAATGACACTTTAACACTTAAGTTGTCTAATGTATATTTTTTTGACCAGCTCAGATAGTAATAAAAAGTGTAGGCTTAACAATGGCCATTAGACCATTAACACAATTAAACATGGTGTTGTGGGACCAGTAAGTAAATCAGTAGTAGCCTATATTATTTATTTATTTATTTTTTTATTTTTTTTCCAACCCCCAACTCAGCCCCAGTATGCTCAAAGACATAAAGTTGTGAAAAACAGACTATACAAAATGATAAATTCAATCTTGCAGGTGAAACAGTGTTCAAAAAACATATCACCTTCAAACAAGCTGCGGCAAAAACAAATAAAAATGTCAAGGCATCAGAAAATAGAGTCAGTGTACAGAAAGAGTATAGAATTTTAATAACAACAACAACAAGGGAGAGTTCAGAAGAAACTGCGTAGAATTTTAATAGAACTATCTGATGTCAGAGAATGAAGAATTGATACACTAAAAGGATGCCATACGACAACTCAAGAATGAAGTTGAAGTAAAAGTAAAAGCTGGATATGATTGGTAATAAAGTGAATATGAGAGCAGTGGTGTGGGGGTGACATCCTGGCACGCTGGAGCAACCTGTGTGGTGAGATATAAAATGCTCAGATGAATTTATGTATCTGTATCTGAGTTTAATTCAAAGGCAGCTGCCACATGTTTGTATACTCCACTGTCGTCTTGGAAGGTATTTAAGATATACTGTAAACTCATCCAACACTAACTACCCTAATATAAAGCAATACACCATTTTCACTGTTCTTAAACAACCTCAATACAAGTTTTCAGTGTCTGTTAATGAAAAGGTCCTATAATACACAAAACTGACTTGTTAGAATGCCGTTTCCTCATCAAAAACATACTGGTGTTTGTTGTTTCATTCATACATTGAGTCTGAGTAATCCTGCAATATTAATCTATTGTCTACATCTCCAAAGCTCAAAGTGACCTGTTCCACATTGTGATGTCATGAAGCAGTAGTTTTCATGTAACTTTTTTGAAGCTACCTTTTACGTTTAGTACAGTAGTGACTGACATGATCCAAATTAATGTATATAGACTTCAAAAACACAGTGGAGCACTTCCACATTAGCGAGGCTGGCACCACCTAGTGCCTCTGCTCAATTTCATTTGTCTCCAGTGACTATGTCAGGAATCAGAATACACTAGACCGTTTACAAAAACCCCGTAAGTGCGTGTCTGGGCACCAGCCAGTCAGTGAAGAGCCAC